GGTGGGGGGCCCCAAAAAAAAAAAAAAAAAAAAAAAAAAAAAAAAAATTATTTATTTAATTTATTTATTTTTGGCTGTGTTGGGTCTTCGTGGCTGGGCATGGGCTTTCTCTAGTTGCGGCGAGTAGGGGTTACTCTTCATTGCGGTGCGCGGGCTTCACACTGTGGTGACTTCTCTTGTTGCAGAGCACGGGCTCTAGGTGCGCGGGCTTCAGTAGTTGTGGCGTGTGGGCTCAGTAGCTGTGGTTCGTGGGGTCTAGAGCGCAGGCTCAGTAGTTGCGGTGCACGGGCTCAGCTGCTCTGCAGAGTGTGGGATCTTCCCGGACCAGGGATCGAACCCGTGTCCCCTGCACTGGCAGGTGGATTCTTAACCACTGCGTCACCAGGGAAGCCCTCTCAGCTGTTCTTAGACATTTTTTTTCTTCTGTATAAATTTTAAGTCTTCCTATTCAGAAACACAACACACTTCTCAAGAAATAAGAGCCACGACATCAAAACGTTTTAGTGGGGGCTTCCCTGGTGGCGCGGTGGTTGAGAATCTGCCTGCTAATGCAGGGAGCACGGGTTCGAGCCCTGGGCTGGGAGCATCCCACATGCCGTGGAGCAACCGGGCCCGTGAGCCACAACTACTGAGCCTGCGCGTCTGGAGCCTGTGTTCCGCAACAAGAGAGGCCGCGACAGTGAGAGGCCTGCGCACCGCGATGAAGAGTGGCCCCCGCTTGCCACAACTAGAGAAAGCCCTCGCACAGAAACGAAGACCCAACACAGCAAAAAAAAAATTAATTAATTAATTAAACCCCTACCCCCCACATCTTCTTAAAAAAAAAAAAAAAAAAAAACGTTTTAGTGATTCTCATTTTTTGGTAGTATTTTGGGATTTCACTGTAAATAATCATGCCATCTGCAAATAAAACTGGTTTTCTATCTTTTCCATATTTATATCAGTTGTTTCATTTTCTTATCTTATTACATTAGCCAGAACTTCCAATGATTTTCCTATGTTGTTTGCTGTTTATTTTTAGAAGACAGCTTTATATCATGTTTAAGTGATATTCTTCTATGTATTTGGCTGTACTGTTGATTGGTATGTAAAGGTTTATGGCTACTGTACACTGCATGTATTAGTTCTTTTATCATAAAATGTCCCTCTTTCTCTTGTTTAATGTTTTTGGCCTTGAATTCTGTTTTGTCTGATACTAATATTGCCACTTTTGCTTTCTATTTATTTGATCTGCTTTGTACATATTGCCCATCTCCTTATTTTCTACCTTTTTTTGGTATCACTGTATGTTAGATGCTGGCTCAAAAGCTATTAGCTGCATACTGTAACAGTCATTAGCACTGTTTACCAAATAATTCCAGTTTTCTTTCTGGGCACATGGTAGGATTACACTCCCACAGTCCTTGAAGTTAGGTGTAATCACGTGAATTGCTTTGGCCAATAAAATGTAAGCTGAAATAAGTCTTGTTACCTCTGAGTGAAAATTTTAAGAGCCAGTGTGATTTACCACATTCCTCTTCCGCTGACGTGACAATCATGGAAGCAAAGAGATGGGCCCTCCTTAGTCTGGTCCATGAATGAGGATAAGATAGAGTTATCTAATAGGATAACAGGAGCTATTAGTCACATGTAGCTGTTGAGCACATGAAATGTGGCTAGTCCAAATTTAAGATGTGCTGTAAGTATAAAATACACATTAGATTTTGAAGAATTAGTGAGATAAAAGAATGTAAATTTTATCTCATTGGTAATTTTTTCTATTGATTACATGCTGAAATAACATTTTGGACATATTGGGTTAAATAAAAATCTATTATTAAAATCAATTTCAGGAATTCCCTGGCAGTCCAGTGGTTAGGCCTCTGTGCTTTCACTGCCGAGGGCCTGGGTTTGATCCCTGGTTGGGTAACTGGGATCTCACAAGCCGTACGGTATGGCCAAACAAATAAAAAATAAAAATAAAATTTAAAAAATCAATCTCAAGTTTTAAAAAAGATTCTAAAAAATGAGGCTGCTAGAAAAAGTTAAATTACACATGCGGCTCCCACTATATTTCTACTGGACATTGGCACAGAACAGATGGCCCAGCCAACCCATGATAAACATGTAGCATGAATGAAAAATTAACTTTCCTTATGTTAAGCCTCTGAAGATTTGGAGTTGTTACTGCAGCATAACTGAACTCACACTGACCCTAAATCTACTCAGTAGTGATTCCTCTTTTCTCCTCTGTGAAAAGAGGTCTGATTTTGTTGACAGCAGGAAACTGCAGGTATAAATCCTTCCCCTTTCAGGCCTCTCTTGCTGCTGGAGGGCAGCAAGGTGACAAAGTTCTGGCCCATAAGACATAAGCAGAAGGACTTTCCTGGGACTTTCTGTGAAAGTATTTCCATAAAACAGACAGACATGGCTAGTGCTACTCCTCCCTCTTGTATTCTCTTAAATGTGGATATGATATCCGAAGCCTGTGACTTTGAGATGATAGTAAACAACAAGCATGAGGATGAAGGCAAACACTCCAAGAACGGTGGAGCAGAAAGATCAAAATATAGAAGAACAGAAAGAGTTTGGGACCCTGATGGTATCACCATGCATCCAAACTAAATCCAGCAACTGCCAGCATCAAGTTTTATACGTGAGAAAAATAATCTCCTAAGTTATTATTTGTCAGTTTTCTTTTACTTGCTGCCAAAATCATTCCTATCTGATACAGGTGTATTCTTGGAGACAGCATCCAGCTGAATTTGTCATGCCAATCTGATAGAGTCTTGGTCTTTTGTTAGGAGAATTTCGTTCATTAAACTTGGTTTTATGCCTACTCTTTGTTAGGTTCCTATTTATTGTTATTTATTTTCCCCTTTCCTTAATTTTTTTTTTCTTTTTGGCTGCACCACACGGCATGCAGGATCCTAGTTCCCCGACCAGGGATCAAACCTGTGCCCCCTGCATTGGAAGTGAGGAGTCTTAACCATTGGACGGCCAGGGAAGTCCCCCCTTTCCTTAATTTTGATGGCTTGTTCACAACTCTGCTTATTTCCCCTTTCACTCTCTGTGAATTTTGAAGATCTATCTTCTAATTGTGCTACTCGTCACAGTTCTGTTCCTAATAATTGTATTTATTCCTACATTTTCTACAATTATTTCATAACTGAATATCAGTCTCACCCAGATTGTTTTTTTGTCCCCTTTCTGAATCATTCCATGTCTGAAAATGTACTTCTTTTGCCTTAGTAGATAAATGAGTATCTTGGTTACATGTAGAATTTTGGGTTTGTAACTCTTCTCTCAGTAGCAAACATTCTTTCATAGTCTTCTGGCTTGCAGTGTTGCTGACGAGAAGTCTGGTGCTAGTATAATTCTCTTTTCTTTGAAAATATCTTGTTCCAGTAGCTTGTAAGATTTCCTTTATACTTAAATTTCAGAATTTCAATGGCATATATCTAGGCATACATGTGCTCCTTTTCTTGCTGCCACTAATCCTGCTGCAGATTTGGTAAATCCTCTCAATCTGCACATTCAAGGTTTTTTTTCAGCTCAAGAAAATTTTGTTCTATTACTTTTTCTCTTCCTGGAATTCCTATTATTTGCATGTTAGGTCTCCTAGATGTTTCTTCCCACCTCTCACAATTACTGACTCTGTGTTTTTGATCTGAATTGTTAAGATATTTTTTCCACCTGCTCCTCCAGAACATTAATGCAGTTCTCAGCAGTGATCATTCCCACTCTTTTTCTCAGTTCATTTACTGAATTTTTGTATTTAGAAATCAAGGGATTTTTTTTTTTTAAGTTCTAAAAGTTATTTGTATACTCAAAATTCATTTCGGGACTTCCCTGGTGGTCCAGTGGTTAAGAATCCTTGATTCCAATGCGGGGGGCGCAGGTTCGATCTCTGGTCGGGGAACTAGGATCCCACATGCCGTGAGGCAGGGTCAAAAAAAAAATTCATTTCTTGAACTATCATTTTCTTCTACCTTTTCCATTAGTTTTACCTCAGTGGGAGTCTCACATTCTAGATTTTCAACTTGTAATCTCCTCGGCAGTGGTAAATGAGGGAACACTGCAAGGCCCAGCACTGTGAGGCAGAGCTGTTTTCATGGTCCAGCAGAGCCCAAGTTGACAAAGCATATAGAGATGAAAAAGTCCCTGTACTACTGGGCTCCTCCAGGGCACTAGACTGAAAGCAATTCAGCTCATCAGTGCAGCCCCTCCAGGGACCACACACATTAAGTGGGCAATGCAGGCCCTTTCCAAGGGGATCCGCAGGCTCCCGCTGGCTTGTTGACCTCACAGGACTTCACATTTCAAGTCTTCATCCCAGGACTGCAAGACAGGCAAGCATTTTCCTCTGATGTGGTTCCCTGCTTCTTACTGAGTATCAGAGAGAATGAATTCTGTGCCCTCTCCTTCCCCTGGAGATGTCAGGAAAAGTGGAGTACTTCCCAGGCTCCACCAGCAGGCTCACCTGGGTTTCTCCAGAGAGGGAATTTAAATGGTCAGAACCACATGCTCAAGCAGTAGTCTTCCCAGAATCCTCTTCCTTATGTCTGTATGCACTTTTAAAATAATGTATTTTCTAATCTAATCTATTTTCTAATTAAGCTTTTCTGTGAAAATTGGGAAAAGAAAAAGAAATAAGGCACAGAGGAGAAGAGAAAATCTTACACAGATTCCACAAGTCTGAAATAATCTCTTCATATTTTGGCATACGTCATTCTGGTCTTGTAAATGCCTGTGTGTGTGTGTGTGTGTGTGTGTGTGTGTGTGTGTGTGTGTATGTGTGCTTATGACCATATACATACTTATAAATATACTTGCCTACTATATTTTAACTTTTTTTCCCCTAAGTGATATACTGTGAACATTTTCCTATATCAGTAATATTTATGAGACATCATTTTTAATAGCTGCATACTATTTGATTGTATGGTACTGTATAGGTCTTTTATTGTTCATTGTCGATCATTGGCTCACTTATAATTCTGCAATATTATAATCTATGCTGGATAGTATCTTATGGTTAAATCTTTGCACATCCATACTCATGTCAATAAGGAGGAACTGCTTGGGTGGACAGATAGGTATATTTTTAAGGTTTTTTTTTTTTTTTTGCGGTACGCAGGCCTCTCACCGCTGTGGCCTCTCCCGCTGAGGAGCACAGGCTCCGGACGCGCAGGCTCAGCGGCCACGGCTCACGGGCCCAGCCGCTCCGTGGCATGTGGGATCTTCCTGGACCGGGGCATGAACCCGCGTCCCCTGCACCGGCAGGCGTACTCTCAACCATTGCGCCACCAGGGAAGCCCTATTTTTAAGGTTTTGAGATCACACTGCCAAATTTCTCTCCGGAAAGGTGTAACCAATTCACACTCCTACCAATAACCAATTTACATCCTCTATTCTCTCTCTCACTACCCCCGTGCCAAACCCAAATATTATTTTTAAAAATATCTTTTGATAATTTGATAGATGGAAAAGGATATCTCATTGTTTTAGCTTGCACTTCCTTGATTACTAACAATATTGAACATTTTTTCATGTTTACTGACCAATTGTGTTTCTTATTTTATGAAACGTCAGTTCATGTCTTTTGCTCACATTATTTGGGATATAAAGTTTTAGGACTCTTGTGTCCTTGATAATGAATAATCTCCTTTGTCTTTCAGTGATTTTTACCTGAAATTCTCTTTCAACTGAGATTACTATTATAATCCCTGCTTGCTTGCTTGCTTTTTTTTTTTTTTTTCGGTACGCAGGCCTCTCACCGCTGTGGCCTCTC